TACTAAGGGACTTTTAAAATGCCTTAACCTAATCTACTGAGAAGCTATATAGCCCCATCGTACAAGGGGATACATCTACCTTTGGGAATCGGGGAGAGACACTGGGTGGGAATCACACTGTGTTAAGCAACACAAAAGACTGCAGATGCAAACATTTTCAAACCAAAGGTCAAATGCTTTGGACTCTGCAAACTTAGCACCTGCAGTGAGTAGTTTAGGACACCCTCACAAGGACCTTAGAGAGTGCAAGAATTCAGCAATCAGTTTCTATACTGAACCCCAAAATAGAAAAAAAATTATAGTGAAGATGAAAGGAGTCTCTATTAAAAACAAAGCATTGGAATTGCCATTCTTTCAGCAAGCTGAATGTGCTGGATGTAAGAATAATACAAAATGAATTCTGATTTCCAAGCAGGACACCAGATATATTTGTTTTGCAAGAAAAGGATTTTTAGGGACTAACAGGATGAACGGATCATTTGGCTCTATGGAAAAATTCATAAACTTCACCCAAAGCAAAAGGTCACAGAAACCATTCATCAATTTTGTTTTTGTTGCTTAGTCAAAGCCTGAATGTGCAGAACCGACAATGCCTTTCTTCCGTGGCTTAGAAAGCCAGCCTATTACCGAATTTTAGATTTGCAAAGCAAGAGAACTATACTGTGGATGTGGAAGGGCTCTCCGAATAACAAACCACCAAGAATTGGTTAGCACCCATAAAATTGTATACCAGTCGATTCTCAGATCAAACAAATTAGCGCAAAACCAGCTTAGCTGCAGATTTTAGTGGCAGATCTGATGGTAAGCAGAGAGGTAAAAAGTACACAAAGAGTTTTAACACCATGAATAAAAACAACAAATTTTTTGCTTAAACCACATCTCAATCAGGATTGTGGATCCACATGTCAACCTTCAAATTGATTAATTCTGGGCCGGCCCGTGGCTCACTTGGGAGAGTGCAGTGCTGATAACTAACACCAAGGCCACGGGTTCGGATCCCATATAGGGATGGCCGGTTTGCTCACTGGGTGAGCGTGGTGCTGACAACACCAAGTCAAGGGTTAAGATCCCCTTACCGGTCATCTTTTAAACACACAAAAAAAAGTGAGCGTGGTGCTGACAACACCAAGTCAAGGGTTAAGATCCCCTTACCGGTCATCTTTTAAACACACAAAAAAAAGTGAGCGTGGTGCTGACAACACCAAGTCAAGGGTTAAGATCCCCTTACCGGTCATCTTTTAAACACACAAAAAAAACAAACAAAAAAAACCAAATTGATTAATTCATTTCAACTCAGCACAATTCTGCAGAAGTGAGCAGGGACTTAGCTTTAAAAAAGCAAAGATTCATACTGCATTGCATCAAAATCCAGAAATGCAGAGCAATATTGAGAAAACTTACTTCGGTATGCTTCCCAAATACTATCTTGCTGCTACTTACCTTTTAACCTGTAAAATTCAGACAAGAGGTATTTAAGTGCAACATATTGTTACTATGACTCAAAACAGGAAAAGGTGGCCCATTTTTATAAACCTCATTTAAATAATAAACTGATCTGATTTATAAAAAGGCCTGCCTTGGATTTATCACCTATAATCACTAGAAATTTCCAAAGTTTATATTTTGCATTTTGGCATATCAAGATTATTAATTTTAAGCATTTTTTTCTTTTTGAAAAAGGTCCAATTTAGCGAACACTCAAAAACTATAAGAAAATGTGAGCTCCATTTCATTATAGAGATTGTGGCAGAAGAAATAAATCAATGGAACAGGAAACAAACCCAAGTTACAATATTTGTCAAATTTTAAAAATACTATTTCTGCTACATGTTTTCAGATTATTTTTTTTCCCAAATATATAGGATAGTCTGTTTAGTCCCTTGGTTCCTAAGAACCAAGTAGCCATAAATAAAAAACCAGCAAACACTACATGCAAACACCAGGATGGTGATAAGAAATTAATATATTCATGCCTTAAAGAGAAAGAGAGGAAGATAAAAAACAGGAGGCTTTGGAAATTTACTAAGACTTCTGATCATGTAACACCAAAAAAAAAAAAAGAAAAAGAAAAAACCCCACCCAAACCCTAACCAATCTGTTTAACAGAAAGGTCATGCAGGCAGGGTTTTTTCCCCCTCTCTTCGGATCATTCAACCTCTTTGACACAAATGCGTCTTCACTGCAAGCCAGGCAAAACCGAAAAAGCAACACATCTTCTGCATGCTGGGCAAATACCTGGACTCTGCGCTTACGAAATGATGACAACATGACGGAGGAATGTGGAGTCTAAAGAGGCAGGGGAGAGCAAGATAACAAGCTTCTAAGGGCAAACCGAACAAAATCACTTCAAAATGAACAAAACGGACCTTTAGAAATATACGAATACAGGTAAGAATGCAATTTCAGATATTTTCCCAGTGCTTTCTCTTTGACATTCTACACAAGAAATTTAAAATGTGAGAGAACCAAGGTTCCCGAGTCTTGGCAGTTACTGTCTATCTAGATGTGGTGCCTTGGCCAAATCACACCTTCTCTTGGGCCTCAGTTTTCCCACTTGTCAAAGTAATAATAATGAATATACTTTATTTTTAAAATTTAAAATTTTATTTTACTTTTTTGGTGGCTGGCCAATATGGGGATCTGAACCCTTGACCTTGGTGTTGTAACACCACGCTCTAAGCAACTGAGCTAACTGACCAGCCCTGAATATACTTTTAAAAACTAAACATACCCTCCCCCGATCCACATTCTGATAAACTGAGAACCCCAGGACTAGCTGATTCCTAAATTCCCTTCCATTCGGTAATAGTAGAACATGATTTCATGAAATCATCAGAAACAACAAATAACTCAAGCTACAAAAAATCTGACTTGGAAAGTCTGACTTGGGTCTAATTTGTTGGTACACTTACTTTACAAAATTCTATTTCCTGTTCAAAACTGGTACAAGAGGAATATGCAAAAATGGTGGAAAAGAGGTGATGGTTCACAGCACAGCTGCTCCATTCAACTGGTCCCAAGTGATCAGATATGTGTCCTCCTCCGCATTCCTGGAGTCAGCATTTGCCACCAGGGCATAGCATTCTTCTACTGTAGGGCCACAGCAGATGCGCTGCAGCAGACCCAAGCACATAAGCAGTGGAGTCCTTGCATAGCCCGCAGAGGATTGATTACAAAGGCAGGCCGGCCTCAGGCCCACTGTCCTTAGTGCAGGTTTACAATGACAGGACATGAGGGACTACTGACTGCTGAGATCCACTTCTCAGGGTCTGCAGTTGGCCCCACCCTTGGGATAAAGGCAGGTAAGGAAAAGTACAGAAAATCCTAACCCAGGGAACCAAAAGATATACAACGGTACTTCAAAAAGTTCATGGAAAGATTGTAATATCTTTTAATTCCATTTTTCCACGAACTTTTTGAAGTACACTTTTACCCAAAACAGTTTCCCCCACCTCAACCTGTTCATCAGGATTGCTTAACAGGCTTACAATGGGGATTTCTCTAATTATTAGATTACTACAAAACACACTGCCAAAGCCAAGAGCATATCAGAGAAAAAGTGACTAAACTGGGTTTACCATAAGAACTGCTTCGTACTTGTCCAGCACAGAGCTAATCCTCCTCTCACGTCTCTCCATCTAGGTCCCTGGATAACAGTTAACACACTTTGAGGGTCCCTTTGAGTAATTATTGGCCCAGTTACTAAAAAGGGCTTACTGTTAATTTCCTGCACCAGGCCCTTACTGCAGCACTTTTTTTTTCCTCCAGCACGTTTTCTAAACTTTGACTTCAATTTGACCTTTCAAAATCTAAGACATCAGCTGCAATGAAAGGAAAAATAAATGACTAGTTAAGGAGTTGGAACCTTGGCTCAATGGCTTCATACAGCTTAGTGTTCCTGCTGTTATTCTTAAGATCTTCTGTTTCCTGGCTACAAGACACCCCCACCCTTCCATCTTTGATACATTCTGTTTTACTTAAGTCCAATTGCTATGACGACGCAATTTCTCAACACATTATGAAAATACTTCATAGGGTCTCTCTTCTATTCTTCCCCGACAGCCATGACGCCATGATGGCAAGTTTTTCTAAAATACTATGAGGAAGACAGAACAAAGGGCCTGAAGATATTAGGTTCTATTAATATAAAAGAGATTTGACAAGGTGTTGCAGCAGTTCAAGCATCATCTTTCTAGGCTATTCAGATCTTGCAGATCGACCCGACTATCTGCACTATTCAGACTTTTCATTTAAAACATATTCAACGCTTAACTTTAACGAGCCCCTTATTTAAAATATACTTTATTCCAGTACATGAAAGAGTCTTTTAAAAGCCATTTTTCTTTGGGAAGCGTCTAATCAAATTCTCAGGGATGGCTTTCAAACAAAAGACTGCTCTGTCATTCAACACCAACATGGTTGTACATTTTTTTTTTTACAAATAATACACTGTCCTCGACTCGAAAGACCCAGTCTCAGAAAAAAGAAAACAAAACTCTAAGTTGTAAGTTATTTGATTTGGGTCTCATACCAAGTAAGCGCCGCATCTACCTATCATTTACAAGCAAATCACACAACGGGGGAGGAAAGAAATGTTTATTACAGAGAAAGAGAAGGAGACGGCCGGTCTCGGGCCTCTCTGCGTCTAGAGAGGGGGCCAAGAATCCCCACCCAGGATGAAATTAAGGTCAAACAGGCCTTTCTCTACGGGCTCTTCCTCGTTCAAGGGTTGGGCAGGCAGTGCTCGCGGTGACTCGGGAACACGAGCTGCAGGAGTCGTTCCCCACCGAGGGAAGGCATCGGGGGCGGCGTGGGGAGCGCTCTGCAGGGCGGAGGACGGCGACGATTCCGACGAAGGAGCCCCCACCCACCTGCCGCAGCCGGACGGGGCAGGGTGGGGCCGCAGCCAGGCTGG